CCCCCCCCCCCCAGCAGGTCACTCAGGGTGGCTCAGATTCCTATATCCTTTTACACTCTCTAAAATTATTCTCTCAGCCTCATATTTTTACTCCCACATTATTGTGGAGTCGATAAAAAGTTGCTTATTTTTTTCAGAGCAACTTTCTAGGAATTTTGAGGGGGATTGGGCTAAATACACCATTTCAGAGAATCATAGAATCATCAAGGTTGGACAGGACCTTTAAGATCATCAAGTCCAACTAACCTTGATGTTGGTTACACTCCACTGTAACCCCTAAACCATATCCTCCAGCACCACATCCAGACACCTCTTAAACACTTCCAGGGATGATGATTCCACCCTGTGCACACCTGACCACCACAAAACTTTCCCTAGTAGCTAATCTGAATCTCCCCTGTCTCAGCCACTTTCCAAACCTGCTGCCCTACCCCAATCCCAGCATCCCTCCACCTGATCTCATGGATACACCCAAGTGCTCCATGCTGGGATGCTCTGCACCATCCTCCCCACTCCAGCACTGAGGTGTTTGTCGTGCAGGGATGGTGCTGTCGGTGCTGGTGATCCTGCTGCTGTCCATGCTGTATGAGGCTGTGAAGATGGGCAAGGCTGTGCTGCTGCAGCGAGCGCTGCTGGCTCTGCCTCGCAGCCTCAGCCAGGAGGCACTGACAGAGCCCGAGGAGGGAGACACCAACCCTGCACAGAGCAGGTACCACAGAGACCCTCTCTGCACCACCCAGCAGGGCATGGGGGGCTCAGGGATGGGGTATGACCCCTGGGCCAGTGCAGCAGGGGAGAAGGGCTGTAAGGAGGTGGCTGAGGAGGTCTAGGATGTGTACAAAAGGTGGAGGTGGCTCTGTGGGTATTCCAGCTCCTCCATCTACTCTAGTAGATGTCCAGGGTGGTTTGTCTAAAAGCTCATGTTCCTCCACTAGGAGCCGTTGTGGGTGCAGGAGGGTCCTCGTGGTTCAGGGATGGGCATAAGCAGCAGGTCAGGCACCCAGGAAGGCTGGCCCTGGCAATTCCTTCCTTTTGGAGCCAAGCCCTGGGGTTTTCCCTCTTATATTTAATCCCAGACCATGCCTGAGGCTGCTCTTACTGGCATCCTCTTGCTAATATCCTCCCTGTTCTTTGGATGGTATTACTGGAGTGGAGTGGGATTTCCCCCCATGCTGCTGTTTGCAGCTCTCTCCCTGCTCCCCAAACCCATCTCTGACCACTCCAGGACCTGCTGGGAGGGGATACTGGTTGTCCCAGCCCCTCACTGATGGGATTTTTCCATCTTCTCCCACAGGTGGTTTCAGTACCACGTGGGCCAGACGCTGTTCCATGTGGTGCAGGTGGTGTTGGGCTACATGGTGATGTTGGCTGTCATGTCCTACAATGCCTGGATCTTCCTCGGGGTCATCGTGGGCTCCACATTGGGCTACTTTGTGGTGTACCCCCTGCTCGGCCGGGGCTAGGCCCCCCCAGGGCGGTGGGACATGTGCTCCCACCTCCTGCTCCCTTGTCTGGAATAGCTGCTGTCACTTCTGCTGGGTCTGTCCTTGTCCCCACGTTGCGTGGGACACAGAACCCCAGGGACTTGCTGTGGGACCCTCAGTGCTGGCCTCACTCAGGTGGGGCGGCACTGGGGAAGGGGACCCCCATGACCAGCACTCTGCCATGCTGCCACCTTGGCTGGTGGCTGTCCCCTGGCTCTCAGGGATCTTTGTCCAGGTGATGACAGCAGGGAGGTGCTGGGCATTTCCTTCCCCTCCCCACTTTTCTAGGAGGATCATCCTGGCTGGAATGGGAATGGTCCAGTGATTTGCTGGGGAAAGGGACATGCTGGGGACAGGAACCCTTGCCCAGAGCTGCCCTGCACCAAGCCCCTCTTCACACAGTGCCTTCTGGGGGTCCTGCTGCCCCCCTGTCCCTCTTCTGTGCAGTGCTTCAGGGATGGGGTCAGAGCAGCCCCTGAGCTGGTGGCATAGCGATGCCAGGGGGAAGCTGCTGCTCCAGGTACCTCTTGCTGCTTCCTCAGGACACCCCTTTTAATAAAATCATCTCAGTCACTCTGCCCCTGGCTTATACCACTGCTGGGTGGTCTCAGGATGGGACACCCCTGGTCACAGTGGGATCCCCAGCCCTCCCCAGGTGGGTGGTTCATGGAATAAGGACAGTCTCCTCTGGCTTTAAATAAAGCTTTTCCATTTTATTAATTATTATAAGCATATCTTTAAACATTTGTATAACTTTCTTAATAAAATATCCTGGAAGAGACAGGTTTTAAGTTCCCAAAGCAAGGCACTTTGGGGAGGGGGGCCTCTCAAGGCACTTTGGGGGGGCCTCCCCAAGTGGGTTAGGATGGGTACCCCCTTCTGAGGCAGCAGCTGTGGCTCCTAAGGCACAGGTGAGTGTTGGGGTGCTGGTCCCTGCTCCATGCACACACGTCTCACACCCCCCAAGTCCTGCAGCCCTCCAGCAGCATCACTGTATGGGGGCTGCAGCAATCCTGATCCCCCTCCCCATAGCAGGGAGGGCTGTTGGAGGCTCTTTGCTCAACCATCACTGTAGCTGCCAAAGCCTGAGAGCTGGAGAAACCATCTGTGCATGGTGCTGAGGAGCTCCAGAGGGCAAGGGCACAGTGAGTCAGAGCCTGGAGGCAGCCCAGTCCTGCCAGGCACAGCTGGGACACAGCCTGAGTGCCACCTTCCCCCCAGAGATTTTACTCTGAACTTAAACTGCTGCTGGAAGACCTCAGGGTGAGTGGCCGGGGTGGCCTCTGGGTGCAGTGAGCCCAGCCTGGTTGTCATGAGCCCAGCTTAGGTGTCATGAGCCCAGTGTGGTTGTCATGAGCCCAGCCTGGGTGTCATGAGCCTAACTTGGGTGTCATGAGCCCAGTGTGATTGTCATGAACCCAGCCTGGGTGTCATGAACCTAGCCTGGTTGTCATGAGCCTAGCTTGGGTGTCATGAGCCCAGTGTGGTTGTCATTAACCCAGTCTGTGTATCATGAGCCCAGTCTGCAAGTGTGATTGTCATGAACCCAGCCTGGGTGTCATGAACCTAGCCTGGTTGTCATGAGCCTAGCTTGGGTGTCATGAGCCCAGTGTGGTTGTCATTAACCCAGTCTGTGTATCATGAGCCCAGTCTGCATATCATGAGTCTGCATATGTCATTAACCCAGTCTGTGTATCATGAGCCCAGTCTGCATATCATGAGCCCAGTCTGCATACCATGAGCCCAGCCTGGGTATCATGAGCCCAGCTTGGGTGTCATGAGCCCAGCTTGGGTACCATGAGCCCAGCCTGGTTGTCATGAGCCCAGCTTGGGTACCATGAGCCCAGCTTGGGTACCATGAGCCCAGTCTGCGTATCATGAGCCCAGTCTGCATACCATGAGCCCAGCCTGGGTATCATGAGCCCAGCTTGGGTGTCATGAGCCCAGCTTGGGTACCATGAGCCCAGCCTGGCTGTCATGAGCCCAGCCTGGCTGCTGTAAGCCCAGCCTGAGTACCACGAACCCATGCCTGCCTCAGCTCTCACCCCCTTGGCAGCAGTTCAAGCCACCCAGCATAGCTGTATCCCTGCTGTGCCCCTGCTTGCCATCTTGTTTTCCATCCCCCCCTGCAGCCCCCACTCCCACTGGCTCTCCCGGAGCTTGATGAGCGGGATGGGAGTGGGCAGGCTCCCAGGAAACCTCTTGGACTGAGACAGGGGAGAACCTCTGGGGCAGCCAGGAGCATCCCACACACTCATCCTTAGTGGGGCTAGTGCCAGCCCCCCGGGCAGCCCCAGGCACTTGTGCTGGGGGGGCACATAAAGCATCTCTTCAGTAAAGCATCTCTTCAGTAGAAAAGAAAATATGGCAGAAGAAGGACAGAGCAGAGTGCAGGGGGTGCCCTGTGCCAGGCTGGGGCCACCCCTAGTCCGACCCAGTAGGACCATGTGGCTG